TGCTGGCTGGCGTCTGCCACACTTTGCACCCATTTCTCACCTTCCCTGCTGCTCTCGCTCTCTCTCGCCGCTCTGTTCTGCTGCCCATCGCTGACCCTGGTCCTAGTCTTTTCGCTCGTCTCTTTTGCTGGGGGCGTGGCACCCGTGGGTGTGCTGAGACCAAACCAGACCAGACAGTCCCGAACTGAGAGGTGCCTGGTACCGGTAGCTTTTTTCTCTCTCTCTCTCTCTCTTCTTACTGGGAGCGGCGGTGGTGTTGCACACACCACCACCACTGGCACACATACGCACGCACGCACTTGGCTGCCGCCGGCCCCCCCAGTCTCCCACGCTCTGCTGATGTACTTTGTACTGAGCGCGGACTGCGGTGCTCGGAACTCGCTCACCATTCAAAACCACTCCGTTCCCTCCGGAGCCGCCCATCAGCTTGTTCTCTCTCCAATCTTTGTGTGCTCCAAACACCAAAGTCCAACAACCTCAACATCCACAGCACAAAAGAAGTCAAGTCGTCTCGAGATACCCAACATCTTGTTGCTCTCTTGCATCCTTCCTGACACACGACACTTGCCTACCGACAGCAAGAGCAGGAACCCCAAACGAAAGAACGGACAGACCCAATCACCCTGTCCAAGTACGAGACACCAGAACCGAAAAAAGAGAGTCAACGGCATAACTCTCTCTAGACCAAGGCACGGAAGGAAAGGATTGACCCCCATAGTCTTGCACCTATTCGGCTGGTCTCCTCTACCTCCTACCTCTTTTCGATCAGTCAAGCTCGACCCAGAACCTGGCCGACCACACGATCCCCACGAACGTCGCAAGCCACCTTGTAGGACGTCCCATCGCCTCGCCCTACATCGGCCCCTTCTTCCTTGCGAGACACTCGAGCCTCGTACTTCCCCAGCTCGTCATTGCATTCCACCTGCTTCGACAACATCTCCACGGGACCCTCCTCCCCAGCTACCGACATTCCTCGTCACAAACAAGACGAGAGTTTCTTGCCCTGTTGCTGGAACATTGCCAGTGCAGAAAACTCGACTGTCGCCCGCCGTCCCTTCCTCGACCTTTCTCTCTCTCCATGTAAGTGGTCAACTACGACTCCTACACAAAAACATAATACATCTGTAAAAAAAAACACCAAAAAATACATCACCACCTTCGTCATCATTGCCTCCTTGTTTTTCTTTTTTTAACCCATTGCCCTATCACCTTTTTCAGCCTTGCTTGCCTCTTTATTTCGTCGTGTCCTTGATAGTCTTATTGTGGGAATTGCGTTTCCCACAGCCACCAAAGCTACAGCCAGCAGCTTCTTTTTCTTTTCTTGAAAATCTCTCTCTCTTCCTCGTTCTGTTCCCTTGTTTTTTCTTAACCAGTTCAGTCATCAGAATAGATGCACCACAACCAATTTCCTAGCCCGACTAAATAATCCTAAAGCCTCCCATGGCCGCGACAGAGCTGACGGGATCCTTCAAATAACACAGAAATCCTAATTTCCTACAAGCGTCTCGCCGCTCCCACTCGGCCGCTCCGCCTCTCATCCTAATTCTTCGCTGAATTGATACCTATTTGCTTTTCTACCACCACTCCTCTCGAACCGACACACTTAACCCGTGCCGGGTGCACGATTCCGACCCCTTCACACCACCCTTATCCAGCACATTCTCCGTACATAACAGCGGGAATGCCTTACACACCCCCCTCCCACCACCGATCGCCAGCAAGCTCAGCGCCGTCATCGCCCGACGTGAGCAGACGTTCCTCCTTCCAGTCCAGCCCCAGACCGTCACTACCAAGGTCAGCATCATACCTCACCAAGCACAGGAGAACGCCGGCAGCGGCAACAGGTGCTCCCACAACAAATGGCAACTCAGACCAGCCTACACCACCAGGAACGTCGGACGATTTGAAGGGCATGGCCACTAACAGCAGCAGTGTCAGGCAATCACCGCCGCCACTGACCGACGAGCGCGGCATGCCCATGGGCGCCATTATTTCACCACCCGACTCGGGAAGTGAAGAGGAGGATGTCGCAGAACGCGGAAGGAAGATCGAGAACCTTAAGGAGCTTCAGGACGCCATCAGCCAAATACCCGTTAAGAGGGAAGCCTCTCCGACCAGCTCCAAGCTCGATCAACCCGCGTTATCTCTCATCACCAAGGAAGACCTCCCCAAGGAGGGTCTTCCCACCAGCTTTAGCACCAGCTCCCTGGACGCCCTCGCCAAGACGGTCGCCCGCCGCGTCAACCATGTCAGATCTAGCACCGAGCCCAGGATAGTAATGGAGTCGGCTTCCATGACTGGCTCAGAGTCCGATTCGGACGGTAACAACTTCGAGAACAAGCCCCCGATGGTACGGAAGAAGTCAGGAGAGCTTGTCAGACCCGCACTCCGGCCCGCCTCTGCTCGCAGACGGCCGTCAAGCATGCCTGGCACGCCGACCTTCTCCAAGGCCGTCCACTTCGACTCCCACCTCGAGCACGTCCGCCATTTCCTCCAGGTTGATCGGCCACTCGCTGTCAGTGCCGGGTCGTCGCCGGTCGATAACTACGACAGTGATACCGAGTACCCCTTCCCCGGAGAGGAACGCCAGAGTGCTCGCACCCCCCCATTTGAGTGGGAGATTGTCACGGCAAACCACCCTGTCGACACACCCATCCGCAAGTCCCTGCCTGTCCGCCTCGAGAGAGTTTGGCTGTCACCTGACCAGAAGAACCTGCTGGGCTCCATCGCCGTTGCCAACCTGGCATTCCAGAAATATGTTACGTGCAGATTTACTCTGGACTACTGGAAGACGACATCGGAAGTTGGTGCTGAGTACTCACACGAGGTTCGCGCTCAGGATGACAACGTTGCTCACGACCGATTCACGTTCAGCATCAAACTCTCCGACTTAGCTAACCTCGAGACGAAGACGCTCTTCTTCTGCATCAAGTACAACGTCAATGGCCAGGAATACTGGGACAACAACAACGGTACCAACTTCCAAGTCGATTTCCGCAAGAAGCATCTGCCACAGAACGGCAAGCGAGGCCTGCAGGGCGCTGCTGGCCGCCCGGCGCTCCCCCGCAGCAACCGCCGCTCGAGCCCTTCTTCTGCGCCTCGGCCCAAGTCCATGCCTGTCGGCTTTGACGATTTCGGCAACCAGGGCAAGCTGAACTTTGACCAGCCCATCCACGAGTACCTGGGCGAGTCAGGCCCGACAGCGGGACTTCGTCTCAAGATCAACAAGTCTACTGGCAACTTGGCTAGCGATAACCTCTCCAGCCGATTGACTGCCCCCAGTGGACAAGCTTTCTCTAATCGCTATGACTTTGGTGCCTCCCTCACTGCTGCTGTTCAGGCCGCAAAGGACACCATTGGCAGCAAGGACCGCAATCAGGATGGTCTCTATATGAAGAGCCACCGCAAAATTCACGTTCCTGCGCAACAGCCCCAGCAGTTGAAGCCGGCCCCGGCCGTGACCGCTCCCCCTGTCTCCAAGCCGATTGTCAAGCAGCCCACGGTCCCTGGCACCGACTCCCCCAACCCTTCCCTCGCCTCGTCATCATACGAGGAATTGGTCAACAAATACTGCTTTGTACGTACTTCTGGTCAACAATCATCCATGTCCGACCCTTTCATCACCGACCCTCACCGATCGCCCACTCTCAGCCCAAAAAGCATGTACTGACCTTGGCTATCAACAGTTCGGCTCCAAGCAGTCCAGTCCGCAGATTAAGGATGGCACATTGAGAAACGTCAAGTTCGATGGAGCGGATGATGTTTTCGCGACCCACGGATCCAACAGCACCAGCTCGAGCTCCAACGGTAGCCCCAGCATGGCCCACCACGTGCAACACGCTGGACCCGCTCAACACCACGCCTTCCACCTCCGCGACTCCAATCCCTACTTTCAGCAAATGGGATCCTACGGTGCATCACCAGCCTCATCTCCACTCAGTCACCCTTTGCAAAACGAGCGACCCGCCAACCAACGTCCGAGTCAGGCTACCACCCCAGCAACAATGAGGTCTGCCTCCCCCGCGACCTCGATGGGTGGCTTCCCTTTCGCCGGTACGTCGCCAAATGATTTTCCGTACGCCCAGCAACTGCAGGAGCGCTTTCCGTTCAATACCGAGACTCATACGGCAACAGCAATTAGGGGTTAAGGGCGTCGCTCGCTTCACCATGTAATCGCATCGTTATTGCGGTCTCGTCATTTGACTTTTCTCGATTGTGTTTTTGGACCAAACTTTTTGAGTCCATTTCTCGGACACTGGCGTTTCACGGGGCATTCGACGCTAGTTGGCCAGGGACGGCCATGGCATCGCGGGGCGTTTAAAGAGTCATTCGCAGTCTACGGCCCTCGATTCGATTACACGACTTCCCGAGCATACGAAGGGCATTCCGGGGTCATCGGGAAAACAAACAAAACAGCCTTGCTCTCTTGGTCTTTCATTCGTTGCCGATTCTTGATGAGCTCAACGCAGCGTCGATGGAACGAGCCTCCTTTTCGGATGGGTACTCAGGAACGATCTGCATACAAGGAGTTCCTTTAATGCATAATTCGCTCTCACCTTCACTCTTGACCTTCAACAGCGGCTGTCATTGCACTTCGAATCATCTTGTTGTTTTTATTTCCTCCTTGTCGAGCTTTCTTTCCGGACGCGGTAGAGGATCCAGGACCACCAGCACACGACATTAGGGGTTCTAGAGGGATATGGGTCACCAAATACTTGTTTTATTGGAATGGGACGATAGCAGATGACATGAGATTGTCTCTGTCCACCTCAGGTGGAAGTTATCAAGGATGTGTCTGGAATCACCGGCCTGTTCAATTACCCCAGTACGCTGCGCGGTTGTGAAAGGCCTGTTTAGGACACTGGGTTTGGAACGGATAAAAGTTGAAGAACCGAGTCTTGAGATTGATTGAAGCATCGACTCGTTCGTGACACAATAGGTACCGATTCATACTATGGGCGTTGGGAACATGGACGCGGTCACTTAGCAGAAGCGTTCGGCCTCATTTGGCTTGATTAGTTAGGGTAGCATGGGAAGACAAAATAACCTGCCATTGCTCATACACTCCTGTTCTTTCTTATTCCGTGATTGTGATGTGCCTTGCGCTATTCGTACTAGGTGAAAGATGCTGGTCTACTTTGCATTAACTACCCCGGACGCGCCTTTACCGCCGCAGCAATCCCCCAAACTACCAAGTGCTGTTTTGACGACCAACATTTTCAACATCATAGCCCATGTAATGCGGCCGCGACTGCGAACGCATAACGATGGTGGACTTTCATTACCTACCATGAGCTCGGTTCCCTCCCAATGATTGTTGGTCGTTTTCGCTTTCGGAATCCTGTTGTAAGTACGAGACGAGTGGGTCGCGTTCGCATAGCCTGGGCGTACCCATCGTTAAGGAGGAATTGGTTCCGGTGTGCTCCCCTCCCCCTGTTCGCGGGCTGGCGGTTTGGTTTGCCAAGAGACGGGATGTTTTTTATGCATATGGTTGACTGTGGAGACTCTGTTGCAACAGTGTCGATTGTACAGGGGAATACCATAATAGTCTTGACGTCGACTGTTGTGATAATTTCTCTTTGGGTGGAAGTTACACCTATAAAGTTCTTTAGATATCGGCTCCCGATGTCTAGGACGACAGCTTAGATATAAGCTCACGTCTCTGGGTTGTTTAACGTACACTTTTTGGCTTTCTTGGTGACCTTGAACGTGATCAGGGTGAAGGTACGTGTAACTTCGGTGACTAAAGGGGGAATATATAAAGATGTCGTCGGGGCCGCGGAGACTTTAGGACCAGACGATGTCGGAAGGGGGAAAATGTGAGTGAGTGAGAGAGTTCGTACTTCCCTAAGGAGGTTTCTCGGGCTCGTGTGAAGCCTGGCTATGAGTTAAGTAGCAAGACATATTCCATCTCCCTTGTGCTCTTATCACTATAGAACATCTCACTTGGGTTCTTAACTCTTGGGGTATACTCATCAGCGAATATGGATAGAATGAGTGTGAGGTGAGCATAGGAAAAGGAAGAATTCTTATATCGATCTTTGAAAAATGATGGGCGATGCACGTAAAGGGTTGGTTAGCTGGAGAGCCTATCCATCTAGCACCGTATAGAACAGAAGGATCCCAAGACGTGTAAGATGAGGAATAGAAAAAAAAGTAGTGGTTGTCTCAAGCCAGAGACAAAGCTTCCTCTATATCGCGGTAAGGGCCGTAAGGTTGCGGGTGGTCCGGGTTATGGGGTCGGACTGCGCACAAAGTTATTAAAATAGGACCACGATGAATTTTCTAACGATGGTTAGAATTACAGGAAAGTTCTTAGTATCGTCTCGACTCCCTCGTTATACTCTTTTAGATCCCTTTGCCCTTACTATCGTTTGTCTTACTATTTGCTCCTATCTATCTACCCTCGCACACTATCTCAGTCATATACCAGGCCGCCCTATCTAACCGCTATCGGGCACCAGTACAGTCACATGCCAGTCCGCTTTTACAGGCCCATGAACCCCAGGAGACAAAGTCCCACGATGCTCGTGATTTCTGCACCCTTCCCGATACGTGGCGCCCTCGCAATCAATCTCAGATATGATGTGCCACGCATTCATATAATGCCTGCGAACTACATCGTCCGGCTCGACATCATCCCACTCCGCGGCCGTGAACTTGACCCCGTTCCCGTAAACGATCCGCCTACTTTCCATGGGCACGTCGGGCTTCAGTCTTGCACCGTGTTGGATGAGGTAGAGATTGATGTGGGGTGTCCCGTCAACGTCCCCTTGCAGAGGGAAAGAAGCGCCCGCCCGTGGGCCTGGTTCATGTATCATGTCTCCGATCGAGTAAGTGTACGAGCCGAATTCTCAGGATTCCTCATATTCAAAGGCGATCGAGCCATAATTTCTCCACTTAAGCCGGTATTTGAGCTCGTACTCTAGCAGATAATTATGATCTGAACCGAGAGTCCCTGTCTCTTGAAGCCGAATACAGACGATGTCATATCTAGGGACCAGACCACAGGGCATGATAGCACTTTGATCATTTCGTAGAAAGATGAAGGTGTACTGTCAGCGAGTGGCCTGTCTTCATGTTGTCCTTGCATTCTGGGACCGCGATCGTGAGTGGAAGCTAGGATTGCAAGAGACCGGTCAAGGAGGCGTTATGTCGGATGCCTGGATTACCACCACGTTCGCCAAGATGCGAAGTTCGAACACACTAGCCTAATGCACTGTCAACTCCGTATGTCTGAATTCAGCTTTGACTCAGCCGCAACTCCTATGAGACAGTTGAGAGCCAACAAGTGATCGTGCATATGGTTATAGGCGAGAATCAGGCTGAGAGACAAGAGTCAGAAGACAGGGGTAGCTGCCCGCAACAGGGGCTGAGCTCCTACTTCTGCACCTGGCCGCTCAGGCTCTGTTCCCTGGTAGGCGCCTAGCAAACGGAATCTTGATTGCCTAGGCCTACCTAGAAGTTCTAACGGCCGCCAGGCGGTCGCCTTTTATAGGCCGTGCAGGGGTAGTATTGAATGGCTGCAACCTCCACGGAAATGAGTGGCTAAGTATTAGCCAGCAAGGCTCTCCAAAGGATTTGCGGCGTGGTTGTCAACTTTTCATGGGCTGATAATGACTTAAATATCGCCACTCACTACTTTTGCTTTTTGTAATTTGTCACTTCATTTCCTCCCTTTTCAATCAGTTCAAAGTTACGACCATGGACTCACAAGGTGTTCGACGACAAGATTCCGGCCAAATCGCAGACAGTGATGCTAGTACCGTCAGTGTCAACTGGACTTCGGTTCCTCAAACTCGTTCACAAAGTCAAACAACGCAGTTTTCTCAAATGGAAATTGACCGACTTCCTAGGAACGACGACACCGCGAGCTTGATCGGAGCTCGAAACCAGCGTGAAGGTCCTTGCCACGAAGCAGCAACTCAAGCATCTCAACCTGCTATTCATGTGACAAAGAGCTCAAAGCCTCGGGTCTTCTACGTCCACCTCGCTGTTCTCGTTGTCTCATGGATATTCTTCATACTTGGGTGTTGTGTTATCAACCCGGAAACCAATTGGCCATGGAGCTTAGGCTTTGAGAACCAGCTCATCATTGTAGGCTTGCTTTTGGCCTTGATGAAAACCTGCCTCGACGAGATTGCTGGTTCAACCTTAATTACTTGGCAAACACGTCATGCTACATCCAAGCCAAGGTACGACGCCGTACTAAGCAGAAGCCCCTTCAGGCCCAAGGACAGCGGCTGGTATTACATTCCATTGATCTTTCTCCGGGGTCTTCCTCTTGGTCTTGGAGTTGCGTATAAAAGCTCAATAGGTGGCGAGGCTTCGCATAGCATCGACCTAGACATCAACATGACACAAACTTCCGGGAGGCAGTATGGGCTGGCCCCCCTGACAAAAGATTCACTTTTCGTGAGCGCTGGTAATGCCCCATGCCTTCTCTCGAACGCCACATTTGACTTCTTCACGGTCTCAGCTAGGGATAATACCTTCAATAATATAGGTGGTTTCCCGAGACCTTTCGGCCACAGAATCTTACTACTCGGCAATAGCTCAGCGGCTACACTCGACCTACCAACTTACCCATACATCAGCGCCATCCAAAAGAAGCTCAAAGATAAAGATACTATAATCATAAGTGCAACAGTCCAGGGCTTCGTAACTCAACTAAATAAAACAATCAAACGCCTACGTAAAGACAACGCATTCTAGAATAACACTATCAAGAACAATATATTAGGGTTATCAACCTACTCGGACCTTAACAACGACAAAGTTACTCTAGGATTAGTTCCAAGCGTCCCTAACGGCGATAGTACTACTTCATATCTATTCGGCTTTTGTTGCAGGAGTCATACGTTCTAGTTCACATCCTCGAGTAACCTAGACAACTCTGAGCTCCGAGCATTCAGGAACTCGACCTTGATGTTTACTACTCATCGTACCGATTATAAAGCTTCATGGCGCGTCACCCGACAGTCCCTTCGACTCCAGCCGTGGAATTGTTCAACCGCAGAAGCCGATATTCTACGACAAACCCCTATCTTTTCTGGGCCAGAACGTCGTCAATTCAGTCCCTTCTCCATCGATGCACTCCCGATTATGGGCCGTCTCCTTTCGGATTTTCCTGAACCTAAGAACCGAGCAGACTCTCCTTGGAAAATGCCATCATTCGCGGTGGCAGTAGTTGGATGGTACTGGGCCCGCAGAGCATACATGATCTCAAAGTTGAGGGTCATGAACAAGCTAGAGACCGTCGAGAATTCGAGATATGCTCCTCGAGATGAATCTTTCAAGCTCACTAGGAAGATTCTTCATCCATACTGGTGGCTATACCTTGTTCTTGGAGTACAGCCATTGATCGCTGTCGCTGCTTTCTTTGCAAACCATTTCTGGCTTGGTCGCGATTGCGCCATCACTGGTCCTAAGTCTCGGAACGTGGATTTCGGGTCGATGACAGATGGCCCGACCAGCGTCTCGGTTGGATGAACGGTTCGACTTTTGCCAATGCAAAGGGACGGACGGAGGCTCCCGTTTAAACATGGCAACAAGGGGGTTATTGAGGTCTCTGCGAAGGTTGGAGTTTTATTTACTTATATTATTAAGACTCCATTTGACGTAATACTGCTTTCATCGGTGTGCAAGAAACGGAACAGTAGGAAATCTTTAGAGAATCGAGGGTTGCATCTGGACTTGGAATTATGCAGGGCAGCTTAGTGAAGTCAGAACGACAAAGGCTAGTCAATACCGTCTGATAATGTGATCATCAAGCTCTCATTTTCCAAGGAGCCTGACAGCCAAGCATGGCTATATGTACAAATACTGAAGTACGAAGAAGAAACTACCATGGCGCCACCTACAAGCTTTATGTATCAGAAATGAAGTCGGGCATTGGCCACTAGTAGTACTGGAATATCTGCTTAGGCACATGTGATTGATATGATGGTCTAAACTCGTTGGTCTTTGGATCGGCCTTGTATAACTCGTTTTCATCAGTGCCTTGAAAGGGACGTTGTCTCTTTTGGTCAGTAGCTTATTAGTTCTACTTGAGAACAACCAAAGACTTCTCCAGAGCCTTCGAGGAAAGCCTGTAAGCACAACATCTCGATGCGTTTCTAGGAACCTCCGTCTAGGGAGAGAATGTTCCAGCCACCCACAACCTTTGAACACCATAGTAGGTGAAAGAAAGAGAGACGCGCAGAATAGAACGCGACACTCGCTTCGGCCTATGGCGTGCTCGCGCAGCAGGCTTGGAACGTGCCTCCAGCGCAACGACTGTGGAGAATATTCTACCAGGTTTCCCACTGCCAAGCACCGTCAAACTTAGAGATTGCGCGAAAATTACACAGCCAAAAACGCCAGAAAGCTGCAGATGCTTCAATCATGATGTGACTTTTGCCTCTTCGGGCATTCTCGCCGTTTTTCTCTCGAATGACTCGTCGCTACCTGGCCGCCGAGACATCTTAAACAACGAAAGGGGGCGGCGAGGTATTCAAATACTCCCTCATGCCTCGGCAAGTTGACAATGATGCCATCCCCATAGGCCATATTGGTCTACTTGTTACGCAACCAGAGCTGGGATTGAAGTTGGGTGGATTATGGCGACATTTCTAGTTTTTCACAACAGCTCGCCCGACTAAGGTTGAGCCGGTCCCAAGTACTAATAAACTTTCGGTCGTCCCGTCCGGTGGCCAACAACGGTAACGGGACACGCACATCCAATTTCGTGGTTCGGGGATGTCTCTGCTCTTGTTGGATGTGTAACGACGAATTCCCCCACTCACGCAATCACGCAATCGACGTCGTGGACTCCCGTCATGGAATGCCGGCGGATAAAAGACCGATAAGGGTGGTGATATCGGCCCGCCTCCATATCTGTTGTGGACATGGGGTCCCGCTGGCCGGGGAAGTGGGCAACAAATATGATATCGTTCCGCTCTTGGGGTTCCCCGAGCATTCAAGATATGCAACTTTGAGATGCCGTGAGATTCAAAAGAATGCGAGAAATCATTCGGACTTCTTCCAACTTTTAAATAACATCGCTTGGTTTCTAGACTTGAGATAAAAGCGAGGCTACCCAGAGCCCAGACGGGAGCTAGCCACCCACTTGCCGGGACTGGGATATGCATGGGGTCAATGGCAATGTGCTAATGTCGCAACAAGCTTCCACAAGCTCGCGATCAACCTTGGCCCCGCCTTGGCCTTCTAGGCAGGCCTACGGTTCCTGAACAGGATAGTTCGATGGAGCCCCTCTGTCAAATGGTCTGGAGATCTATCTCTGAGTGCAACGTTCCGAGGACCAGCAGATAACATATCAGTGGGCGTGAGGGAGGTCAAAACGCAGGTTTCTGGGCCTCCTCACCTTCTTTTCCTCCAGTCTCTTAACCTACGTTGTCAAGTCATAGAGAGCAAAGTTGGTCGCCATGGGTAAGTTGCTAAGCACATGTTTGACGCGTGTCTAGTTCGCTGACATACCTGCAGCTGAGAACGTTATTGGTCTCAACGTGCACAAGGTCGTCGAGCCCGACTCCGACCAAGGCGTACACCCTGAGAAGACTCACCAAGTCAATACTCTTGACGTAGAGTCCCAAAACAACTCCCTCGATCAGACACACTCTGTCATCGATGATGAAGCATACCCGGCTCCGACTGATGAGGAGCGGTCGACTCTACGCAAAGTAGCAGACTCCATCCCCATAACCTCATGGTCCCTTTGCGTCGTAGAAATGGCCGAGAGAGCATCCTACTACGGTGTCAAGGCCGCATTCAACAACTACCTCCAATTTCCTTTGCCCGAAGGAGGTCCTGGCACCGGGGCTATTGACAAGTCCAAGCCCAACTCTCATGCTGGTGCTCTTGGCCTTGGACTCCAGACAGCCTCTGCCCTGGGTCTTCTGTTCACCTTCCTGGCTTACGTTATCCCTATCTTCGGTGCGTGGATTGCAGACGTCAAAATCGGTCGCTATAAAGCCATAGCATGGGGTGTCGGTATCGGAGGTGTTGCCCATGTCATCATGGTTGGAGGCGCTGCTCCCTCAATCTTGCAGGCCGGTAAAGGTGTTGCTCCATTTCTTATCAGCTACTTTCTCCTTGCCATCGGAGCTGGTATTTTCAAGCCCAACGTTGCGCCGACTGTTATCGATCAGTACAAGCACCAGCGCCAATACACCAAGGTGCTCAAGTCAGGAGAGAAGGTTCTCGTCGACCCCGAGACCACTGTCAACCACATCATGTTGATTTTCTACGCCTTCATCAATGTTGGGGCCTTCTTCTCTATTGCTGTCGTCTACATCGAGAAGTACCATAGCTTCTGGTTGGCGTACCTCGTACCCGGTATCGTCTACTTCCTGCTTCCGCTTTTGCTTGCCGCCACATACAAGCGAACAGTCAGAATTGCGCCTCAAGGCTCCGACCTGAACCGTTTCGTCAAGATCACGGTTTCGGCGATTAAGGGGAGCAAGGGCAACATCTTCTCCAAGAATGTATGGCAGAACGTCCGCCCCACTGCACTAGCTGAGCGAGGAGTGCATGTCGGATACTCTGAGAAGGACGTTGACGATGCCCGCCGTACCTGGCAGGCGGTTCAGATCTTCTTGTACATTCCCATCTGGTACTTGAATGATGGTGGTGTCGGAAACGTTCAGAGTAACCAGGGCGCGGCAATGACATCCGACGGCGCACCTAACGATCTTCTCAGCCACTTCAACCCCTTGGTCATCATTGTCTTCTCGCCCTTCATGGCTAACGTCGTCTACCCCTTCCTTGAGCGTAGAAATATAAAGTTTGGACGCATCAGCAGAATGACGGTCGGATTCGTTTTGGCCATCATCTCTTCACTCATTGGAGCGTTGGTACAATGGCGTGTCTACGAGACAAGCCCTTGGTAAGTTTTTCTGCAAATGTATCTTTCACCTGGGTCAGGGATGCTAATCTTCTTTGAAGTGGCTACGCTGCTAGTGACTGCGACGACGTCTCCCCTCTTTCGATTTGGTGGCAGATCCCCAACGTCGCACTTGGTGCCATGTCAGAGATCTTCATCAACGTCACAGCCTACGAATTGGCCTATGCCCGCGCCCCGGAGCACATGAGATCGACTGTTGTTGCTCTGTTCTTGTTCATGACAGCGTTGAGCAGTGCCTTGGGGCAAATTCTTCTTCCTTCTATCGCGGACCCAACACTCATTTGGGCTTGGGCTGCCCCAGGTATCGCCCTCTTCGTCCAAACAATTGTCTTTTGGTTCAGACACCGTCATCTCAACGACGATGTTTTCATGACGTACAAGGAAGACTTTGAGAGCGTCAACTCTGGAGAGAAGAAGCTTGTTGAGAAAGATGAAAAATGATCAGGGATGAGATTTCTATAGTCAGCAGCGTTCCAGATGATTGCTAGATTGGCTTCGCAACCCCATGTAAATCAGTCATCCGGATCTCTAACACCTGTTGCTATGGACCTGGTCTATTTATTTAGTTTGAGAAATTGATGTTGTACCAACCCATCATGTATCTTTCATCGTATGCGTTGTCATCAACATATTGCAAACCGCTTGGCGGCTGGGAGTCGGTGTGGTGGTAGGAGTGCTGAACTTAGGTATTTGTGACGTTTCAGCAATGGTGACTGCACGGGAAGTGCATCCTCCGTGGCACTAGACGGCAGTCTTAAGACCCTTGGTAGTAAGTGTTGATTGACAACGCTCCTCTAGGCTCTGGCTGGAAAAATGGCAGTTCGTGGAAGCTCTTTCAGTTGGCCTTGCTTGCCCTCAACCGCTATAATATCATAGATAAAGAGGTTTAAGGAAGTGTTAATTTACGTCACTTGTCACTGATATTGTGTCTATTCAATATTGAGAAAAAGACCTGGAGCATCTTGCATCTGTTTCACTTAGTTCCTTCACTGACGGTAGTCAGCTGGAAACGTTAAAGTCCAGGTCTCGTTGATGGTCATGCTGTGTTGGGGTCTTCATAGCTTGACTTGAGAATGAGCAATGGCAGGATCAAGTGGCAATTTCAAATTCCGAAGTTGACACTTGCACAGAATTGACTTCGTCACAAGCTGCACATTCAACAAATGTACAGAATTGTGCTGCTCATTGTGAAAGCCTTGGGCAATCAGGAAGCATGACTCGTGTATGTCGTGGCTCGTAGAGAGTAATATTCCGTGCACGTACGGATCAAGTCGGCTGGGCTGTAATAATTCGCCCGTTGCCCGATGCCGGTCCGGATCCGATCTGGACTCGCAACCCGGATTGCGATAACCTAGAGTCCAGACGCACGTAATCCCATGATAGTAATTTCTACATGATAATGTCAACCCGGGCGACATATGCTTTCGATCATGTATTCCAAGACTGCATTCAACTTTGTAGCAGTTCTCGATGGCGTGTAGTGTCTCTTTGATCTTATGTCATCCGTAGTCACCTGAACCATCGGAGAGAGACGAATAAGAGCTCTTTATACACGGTTTACTAGGTTGGGAAATCAGATTTTCTCCCTCCGGCGGACTTTCATGTGACCGTAAAGCAGACCTGACACGAGTGTGTGGTAACGACTCGCGACACGAGTCATTACCGGCGACTTCATAGGCCGTGGCGTGAGCTTTCCGAATTCTTTGTATCCATCAATGTCGATCAATATTCAAAGACTAAGAGCTGA